AAAGAAAGATGAAAGTTGTAAATCAAAAATACAACAAAAACAAGCCAATTATTTTGAGATCAATCGTATTTCAACTGTGTTAAATTAGTGGTCACTTAGTTCTTTTCTCAGCAGTTCTGTCGTAGCGGAATAAGCCTCCAAAAAATGTATTTGAACGAAACCGAATAAACTAAACAAACAAGCCGCGTGGAGGTCGCCGTAAATTAAATATGCAGAAATCCAGCGTGGAAGTTTCCGTTCACTTTTAAAACCTAAATTCCTAAATACACGGAACCAAATGAAAAGAAATGCAAAAGGAAGTTCAATAACAGTAAATTTTTATTTACGCGGAGGCGAAGAAACCTATGTAAAAGCAAAGCAATGTTCAAAATTTTCGCAAACGTGCTTCGCTGCATATCAGCATGTTCAAATTAATTCTTCACGCTAAAGCGAAAGCTTGAGTTTTTGCCGACGACTTCTCCGACGTTTGCAATCGGCCGTAGCGTTACCAATCGTTCCAAAAAGTTGAATTCAACTTCGAGGTAATACCGTACGTTACTATTTTTGTTTCCTAGGTGCGGGAAACTGCTTCAAATCCGCGATCGATATTCAAAACTTACTTGAAAGCGTTCAACCGATCGTCATGGTTTGAGGACTCTGTACTCGTTGATCTTCCATTCTTGGGCAACCTAGACATTGATTTGTATTTTTCCTTTCTATTTTAAATCTCAAAGCAGTAATTTCACGATGTTAGGAATGAAAACAAGACCTTTGAAGTTTGCAGATTTGGCCCGCAACGCGCCATTATTATATTACCTACCAGTTCCTGGCGACCAAAAAAATTTCACATGAGATCGAGGCCATTTGTGCCACGATCGAGGGCATTTGTGCCAGCCAGCCAGCCAGCCAGTCGAACGCAAAAAAAGGCTTAAATCGCTGTTCTTCCGCCGCCATGTTGTTTGTACACCCAATGTCGTGCTCCTAAGGTGTCAATTAGCGGTATTTCTAGAAACAAACCTGACTAGTAGCCACTGACAACACGGTCTAGATATGAAGAGCACAGCCATATGGCAGCCATGTAAATTTAAATTAGAACCAAGAAATTCATCACGCGTTTTAAGAACTGTTTTTACGAATTTCCATCATTTATTTCATAGAAGAGCTCAGTCGAAACTTCATATAATGTTTTTTACTCCCCAAAAGTAACGGCCCCGAGAGTAGCGAGCCCCAAAGGCTACTAATTCAGTGATACAGCGCACGTTACTGTTATTGCTGTAGCGTGGACTCTCTCTCCCACCCTCGATTCATATTGTGTGTGATCTCTCTGGGCTCAAAACGGGCCTCGCAGCTGATAACTAACGCTGTTAATAAATGTTTTTGCAGGGCCCTGGGATAGGTGTTCCATTCAATGTCCAGCATGTAGCGCACATTGGCGCTGATAACGTAGAGGCTCTGCTGCTTGCTGCGAAAGATGATCCAAAATTGTTGCCGTCGTTTTTGCTTCCCGAGGGCCTTGGCGATGAAAAAGGGGACAGAAAGAAGTCAGTGGAAATAGACGACACGAAAGCAGGCGAGTTGATAAGTGACCTTTGAGTCCGTAACTTCATACAACAACAATGTATTGTCAAAGTGTATTGTTGCAAGCCCTTCTGTTCTTGCGCAACTTCGTTGAAGGAGCTCTAAGCTCTGTAACCTGCATGGATTCAGCAAAAGTAGCTTGAATTCATTTTGGTCTATAGTGCTAATTTTAATTCATTTGTTTCTTTTTGGCGATAAGGCGTCAAAGGAACGTCATTAAAAGACTTGAAGGAGACGTCACGTGGATCAGACGAATGTTCGGCTCCAGTTCTTTGTGGCTCTAACGGGAACGCTACAAATTCCGATGACCATGAAGCACCGCTCCCCAGAGTTGCATCCGTCTCTAAACCAACTCCCAAACCTAGACCTCGTTCATTAGTAGTGGAAATGGACTCTAACAAAGAGGCTAAGGTTCCAGGAACAGCAGAGAGGCCAGTTGCACCTCCACGGTCAAAATTCAAATCTTCGAAAGGGGATATTGAGGCCGGGTCTCAAAAGGACCATACCAGTAAAGCTCCTAAACGAGACGCCCCTAATAGAATGGACATGAATCTTCCGCTGCCTGTAAAACCGAAGCCTAGACCAGTTCGTAATGAACATCCAGGAGAACAGCGAGTTTCTCCCTCGTTTTCTGTTAACGAATCAGTTGCGGTGACTGATGCGGCCGTTGAAGATATCACTTTAAATGCACGGGACATTGAAACTGGCCAGAAAGAAATCAAGGGCTCCGAAGTGGAGCCTTCAAAAGCAAAAGCCAAAAAGCCCGTGCCACCTCCCATACCCCGGAGAATCGACCTGGATTGATTGTTTATTCAGTCACGATTACAACTCTGTCAACAGAACCGTGGTGTTTATTTGCTCTGGGTTTCAGGAGACACGGTACAGTTGTTGGTATGGAATGTTATTGAGGATGGTCATTTTTGTATACTTATGTCAGAGATCCATTCAGTTTGTCTGCGTTTGTACTCTTGCTGAATACGTAAAAGGAACGTTCACCATCGCCTGTTTCGGTTTGCATTCTCCACAATGGCAGAGTTGTTATGCTTGCCTTGCAGAGGAGGGCTGCAGGACCATTAATCATACGGCTCAGTACTAGAGGTCGCGTTGCTTCTTCTGTGGAGGGTTCTGCCAAGGAGAAGATGATGTACGCAAACTTAAGAGAATCATCAAAACGCTTTTGTCACTGCCTGTTTTAAGCATTGCCTTTTTCGCCACTCAAACTTTCTTCTTCAAATTGCTTACTGCTATCTGGATGCAGCGACATGGTATAAATATCAGGTTTTTATTAGTTTCTTTTTGAAGCTAGTTATTAGTATATATAAACAGGCGATAAGCGAGTGCAACTTGAAAGAAGTTTAAAATATCATTGGTGTAAATCCTTAATTGCTCGAGCTTTCATACGATTACTCGTTAATTATATGACTGAGAGAATTACGAACGCGCGAGCGTTAATTTGCACTGCGGTGGAATGAAATTTAACAATAAATAGGTCCACTCCCAGTCAATCATAGTAAAGTAATTTCCTCAGTTAAATAACAATAATTAATTATTCTAATTATGTATGATTTCATAAAAATCACAAATTCTTGCCTTGCACCATATTGATATTTCATTGCACTAGGACAAACTCATTCACGCGGATTGTAAATCTTGCGTCCGGTTTTCTCGGTGGAGTCGCTCCGAATCCCAAACATGTGTTTTACTTCTTGTCGCTGTGAAAATCCCGGGGTTTTGCTGGCGTATGTGGGTTATATATGTGCCGCGGGATAGGGATAGGGTATCATTTTTACACAAACGAAATAAAGTTGACCAGTTCACGCCATCTTTATTAGTTTTTGTTTTTCCCTTGAATAAGGTGTCATTTTTCGGGTGTTGGCCTTAAATAGGGTGTCAATTATCATTTGGTTCTTGATTGAACAAGGTCAGGGTTTAAAGTAATGACAGTTTGCTTTTGGGAGTTGGACATTCCTTCCTTTACGAAGGACTCATCTACGCATTTAAAGTGCCTATGAAGTAAAAAATAATTGCTGTTTATTTGAAAGGCTTTTCAAAGTAAAGAAGAATGGTGTTTCCCTTTTTGGAATATCTTTTTTCGTTCTTGAGAAATTTACGTTTTTGTATTATGCAAATGAGGAAAGTGATGACGTCATAGGTGGTTCCATTTGAACAGTAAAACACCGAATCAAGAATATCTCTAGAAATATTGGAGCAGTATTCTTCAAACTTGGCACCAAAAATGTGCATCACAAAAGAAACAGAAAGACATCTTCTGTGTTGTTGTCATGGCAACAATTTTGGCTCCAGTCTCTTTTTGTGAAACACCAAGTATGCCAATTTGCAACCCTTCGAAAAGGGACAGAGGGTCTTGCTCGGAACACACATGATTCCCATATTGACCTAACTCTCCCCATCAGATTGTTGGGACTGGATGATCCTTGTTTAAGATAAAATCTGGTAATGTTAGTTTTAATTAAAACAGGACCAGCGGCATAGCTGTTGTCATGGCGACGGCACAATGGGTGTCATTTTGTTTCTTTTGTGATGTACATTTCTGGTGCCAAGTTTAAAGAACACTGCTTTAATATTTCTAGAGATATTCTTGATTGAGTCTTGAAATGTTTTAGTGGAACCACCTATGACGTCATCACTTATAATACAAAAACGTGAATATCTCTAAAACGAAAAAAGATATTCCAAAAAAGAAAACGCCATTCTTCTTTGTTTTGAAAAGCCTTTCAAATCAGCAGCAATTATTTTTTACTTCATAGGCACTTTTAATGAACAGTTCACAGATAAGGTCCCAACAGTTTTTGTAGACCACAACTGGAATTCTATCATTTCCTGGAAACTTGTGTTGAAAAGTTTCTAAAATCTTTTTCCCATGGTAATTTGGCCTTCACTCGTCTTCACATAATTACGGTACATTTTAAATCGTTTAGAAGGGACTTGATAGAATCCGCGTCTGCCGCTTTCTTTTTTGTACAAGTTGTAATGATATGTTTTTAACATTATTTCTCTTTCTAAGTCCAAAAAGTACTTAGTGCTTCTTTCTCCGTGCTTATGCTAGCAAGCTCTTGCACGTACAATAATTCGATTTGTTTTCTTTTCATAAAATAATTTCATTTTCTTTAATTTCTGTTAAGGTGGCCGAACACAGTTTTCAAGTGCCTATGCCTAATTCACCATTACTTTTAAACTGTTTGTTTTGGCACACATTTTTTGCGAGAGTCAAGGTTAACCACAGAAGGATTTATTCTCGCATTTTGGCTAAGGTGTGTGCTGTTGCCATGGCAACGGGGCTGGTTAAAAACAAGGCTTAAAAGGTTTTTGTTTATTTAAAAAAATCAGTCGTTAGATTTTTTTCATCATTTGCCCACTACTAACTGACATTAAATCCCTTCTGTCAACACTGTTCTAATAAAATTTTGACATTGACGATTTTCGTAATTCGCCGGAAATCGTTTTCACTGCATGTTTTGTATTATTAAAAATTCCCTATGCCAAGATTTTTTGTGATAGATCATTCACGCGGTTTCTGAACTGCCAAATTTCTTGAAATTCTAACGACTGGATCGTTAGAAATCGGCACGTTTCTGCAAAAGCAATCGGTCTCAATTTTTTGAGCAACTGCGCATGCCCTGCGTTTAACTGGGCTCTTTCGGTAACAATCTCGTTCCCAGAGCCCACGTGTCTTTTGGTCAGAGCCAAGACACGGAGCTCTCAGTGGAACAATCAATTTCCAGACTCCAAGATTTTAGGAGTTACGGTTTCATGGCGCATGCGTGCCTTGGTTTACAACATGGCAATCTCGTTCCTAGAGCCCACGTGTCTTTTGGTTGACGCTGACCAAAAGACACGTGGGCTCTAAGAACAAGATTGTTTCGGTAACAAAGAAAAAGCTGAGAATTGCTGGGTTCTTTGCATCGTTACCTTTTCTAATATATCTTTGTAATAGAAGACTAAAGCCATCAATAAACTGCGTTTAAATATAGAGAAAAAGAGTACAGATAGTGCGGGTGTTGAGTAAATAAAATGATCGCTGGATCGCTCTATTGACGGCATATTTGTTTTTTCCAATCCTTGTGCGCGCGCTGAATTGCATCAGAAAAACCGCACGCGAAAACTGTGTTCGGCCACCTTAAACGAGATCTGTTGAAATAATTTGGATCATTTTCGAAACGCCTGGTAGCTTCCTCGTATTCTTGTTGAATCGTCTTTTCTTAATCATTTCTCTGTTTAGCTTTTTCTTTAGAGCATCATGATTTTAACCCACTTCGGCTCGATTTCCCGGAACTTGGGGATATTTTCCAGTCCCTGGGACCCTAAACTAACTTCTGATAGCCTTGGTTTGCAGTGAAATGCACACAGCAAAACTTTTTGAACGTTGACTTTCGAGCCTCTGGACCGAAATATAGCCCCACTTTACTTTAAGACTAATTTAGTAGCCGAGACCGCCTTACGCGCATCGCGATTTTCACCAATTTTGGCTCGACTTCCCGGAACTTAAGGTATATTCTCCAGTCCTGGGGACTCTAAACTAACTACTGATTGCCTTGGTTTGCAGTGAAATGGACACAGGAAACTTTTTGAACGCTGACTTTTGAGCTTCTGGGCTAAAATATAGCCCTACTTCACTTTAAGACTGAAAGAGTAGCCAAGACGACCTTATGCGCATCGTGATTTTGACCAACCTCGGCTCGATTNTTCCAGTCCCTGGGACCCTAAACTAACTTCTGATAGCCTTGGTTTGCAGCGAAATGGACACAGCAAAACTTTTTGAACGTTGACTTTCGAGCCTCTGGACCGAAATATAGCCCCACTTTACTTTAAAACTAATTTAGTAGCCGAGATCGCCTTACGCGCATCGCGATTTTCACCAATTTTGGCTCGACTTCCCGGAACTTAAGGTATATTCCCCAGTCCTGGGGACTCTAAACTAACTACTGATTGCCTTGGTTTGCAGTGAAATGGACCCAGGAAACTTTTTGAACGCTCACTTTTGAGCTTCTGGGCTAAAATATAGCCCTACTTAACTTTAAGACTGAAAGAGTAGCCAAGACGACCTTATGCGCATCGTGATTTTGACCAACCTCGGCTCGATTTCCCGGAACTTGAGGGATATTTTCCAGTTCCGGGGACTCTAAACTTACTCCTGACGGCCTTGGTTTGCAGTGAAATGGACACAGCAAAACTTTTTGAAAGCTCGCTTTTGAGCTTCTGGGCCGAAATATAGCCCCACTTCACTTTAAGACTAAAAGAGTAGCCGAGACGGCCTTGCGCGC